TTGCTCCACAGACAATACCATACTGCCTGACGGTCCAGAGTCAAAGGCAGCTTTCAGAACGAGAAACGCAACCATTGTTGGTTGCTGGAAGCAGTGTCACTGTTCCAGAGTTTGCCGTAGGGCGAAGATATGATCGATACATCCTCTTGCCGGACAGAACCTAGCTTGGTTTTCAGGGATCTGCCTCTCCCTTGTTCAGTCAACCTTCGAAGGATAAGACCAGAGAGCACCGGTGATGCCACAGAGAACAGACTGATGCTACGGTGGTTTTCCCAATTTTTACCATTTTTTAAAGATAGGGGTAGCTGTCGACATGCCCCATTCTGCAGGCACTTTCTCTTCGTACCATGTAGCACCAATAAGCTTTGTCAGATGGATCGCCAGAGGGCTAGATGGAAAACGTTCGGTCTTGGTGCATTCCCACGTTTTAGCACGGATATTTCGTACTTTATTTCATCTTCCGAATGGCTGCGGAAATACTGATGATCAAAATTTGAATCCAATTATTGTTCTCCGGCCAAGTTTCACAACTCAGGCGAAATATCCCTCGTGCAGTCATATTGTATACACCGTATCGCGTAGCGTCTTTGAAGTCATAAGCCACAACACGACAGGCATCAAGATGATATCCCCACGGCTGGAACGGTCAGCATGATGATTAATTGGCCCGATACGCCTCGAACGCATTTTTACCCAGTCTAGTTAAGGCAAAAGACACAAGGAACCACTAACGTCTTCAAGTACCACTGATGGAAGCTTACCTAGCCCGATGACGTTTCAAGGTGGAAATGCCCCTTCGTATTCATAAACTTAGAGGATCTAAACTCAGACCATGGCTCGAGGTAAACGGGAAGAATGAAAGATGTAAGCATAGAAACCGGTGGTCAACTAAACACTGTCCAACGATCAAGGCGCTGACACACACGGAGTATCGGATTTCCAATATTAAGTTTGAGTAGCACACTGGAAGATTATAACCTGAGTACCGTTTTACGAACAAGCTGGAACGAATTTCGTGCATTTTCCGATGCAGTAGCTTTCTCCAATCTGAGCTTACTGGTTCTACCGCTCCCTTCCATCTGCACGCAAACTTCCTTTGAATTAACGTTTAACAGACCGTCTAGCCAATCCATCCTGCCGTCCCGAAATGATAGCAACCGTAGCGATCCTCTTTGGTTAGTTGTATGTGCTCGGAGACACTAGATACCAAGTTTCCAGCGTCAGGTATGAAAGCTTTCATCCTTTTTCTTTTACCATTCATTTACTCTGAGAATCGTTCAGCTGAAGCACCCTTTCGGTGCCTAACTGCCATGCCACCAGAAGGAAGCACGATGGCTGGGATATCGCCAGGTTGTCCAAGCCTGGCCAGGGGCGGTCGGCTGGGATACGCCAGGTTGTCCAAGCCTGGCCAGGGGCGGTCGAGAGGGAGATGTCGGGTTCGAGCCCCTGAAGAGGCGACGTTCAGACCATCAAAAAGCAGGTTTTGGTACGTCTCTCTGATTCGTGATTGAGGAATCTTTGCAACCTATAAGAGCGGAGTTTGCTCCTTAGACCCATCCATGGAATTCGGTGAAAACCTACATATAAATTAGCAGACGTATTGTAGGATCATCGGCAGTCGAATATTGAGCGCGGTCACTGGTAGCTAACTGATACCGAATAGGTTAGTTGAGCAACTGACGCATGCCGGGCAGCATAACGGCATCCACCGCCCCCAAGTCCAATACTGTTGAAGGACAGTTCACAATTGTCATTGCACCTTGGTTCTAGGCTGAACTAGTCACCAAATCACGCTTCCAATGAACTGAAGGGCTCCGCTTGTTATTAGGACTGTAGCTTAGCTTTCCGTGGTAGATAGGATGGTGACTATTTATCGATAAAGGGTGTTTCCACGGAATCACAGTTTGTTAGAAACTACAAACAAATAACGGATGGCATTCCGATTGCTGTAACTCCTCACGAAAGCGGAGAGACGAAGAGAGCACAGTGCTTAAAGGTGTCCAATCAAACAACAAAGCCTCGGTCCGAAAGCTGAAAGCCATACAGTGACTAACAAGTTCATTACCAAGCTCGGCAGACAAATCAAGCCACCTATTAATACGGTCATGATCCTACATAGGCTTGCCTTTAAAAGACATAAGACAAAAAAATAAACTGATGCCTTACAAGTTGGTTCCAAAAAATTTTGACAAAGGGCAAAATATGAGATGTCGTTAAACTAGAGGTCCGAGTTAATCTGATTTATTCAGAATTGTGTGCACAAACCAATGCAAATTCGGAATCACGTTTAGCAGCCGTTGTTGTCAATTCAACTCCATGGCTACAAACGCACAAACGAATCGTCCATGAGGCCGTTCTCTAGGTTTGATGGGGACTCTCACTCACTGGAAATAACTCATTTCTTTCTCTCCGATAAATTTAACACACTTCACAGTTGCGAGTTTAGCATCGAATTCTCTTCGCGTTTCACTCTCCTGAAACTAGGTGAGGCGAAATCGAACTAATTTAGCCGCACCAATGCCCTAGTTGGATCGAGTTAGTTTGGACCAAACCGATTCATGTCCTGATCCTGGCCACAGTACTCAAAGAGCTACAATTGCATGACCATTATCATCAGCTTGGCACACGAGTTTACTAAACGGAACTTCTAGCAGAAACTGTCTTAGTTACACATTATGTGGACGTGGGGTATGCACTGGAGAGGACATTAGGCACTCTCAGATTGTAAATTGGATAGTGGTGACGGCTTTCACCTTTACTCTCACTTTATATTATAGGGATCGAAAGGGAGTAGCTACACATTAAGGGCAATAAATAGAATGCAAAAAGCCATATGGTGAGACACTGTTCTCCTACAGGTTATCGCTCTTTTGACTGAAACCGAACGCATGTTTTCCGTACACAAACGAAATGGTCATTGCGTTCCAATCAGCTATGGAGCGTGACGTTACAAGATGCCTTAGTTATACAAACACCGTGAGGCAGCTGCGCATAGAAGCAAGCGGGAAGGATGGAAGCACGATAGCACGCAGGTAAACGTAAAACAACGATATATGGAATCGTTCGTCTTGAAGAAGCATGTGGAGTAACTGTTAAAATAAACATACTGGAAGAAACTAGTGGACATGTGTGTTTCAAACACCCTGTTCGTTCCTATGTAGCGTGACTGTCAAGAGCATAATAGAATAATTGGATGGGTAGTTGAATAAAGGGAAGCATAGATGAGCCTGTATCATAATCAAATCACAGGATACATGGACCTGTGGATCAATGAACTAGAAGATGGCCTCTAGATATCATCAAATTTATCCCCGTATAGTTCATGTTTCAGATACGAGAGCTCATATTGAAAAAGAAAAATCAGTTCCAAATTGATTAGTGTCCCGTAGAAAGCAGTGATAAGAATCGCGAATCAAAAGGAAGATTTAGTGTCTAGTTTGGTCACGAGTCCCTTCACAACGGAGCAAGAAAGAGCATATAGCATTGAGAAAAGAAGTAGTCTGCTCTGGATAAATCTTCACTCGTTTGGAGGGTTGTCTTGTTCGTAATCGTGGAGATGAGACCGTTAACACCAAGCCACCAGTAGAACACGGTGAATACTGAGCAGCAGGCAAGTTCCGTTCTGGTTTCACTGAGCCCAGTGAGCACATGCTAAAGCCTTATCAATCCATTCAGTAGTTCCATCGCCTAATGGAGCGCAAACTAGAGGTTACCTGTAGAATGGTAAAACAATACCGTGGTCTGACAAAAGCGGCTCTTAAGACCCAGTGATGCGTCTTTCTGACGCCACAGGTAGTGGAAATAAGAAGATGCGCTCTTTATCTTTGTTACGCGGGTGTTGACTCCATTCGTCATATTGGTACCAGGGTCGTTCAGACTTCCGAATTACCCTAAGATAGTCTTAACGGCTTGGGCCTCTGTGCTTACCGTACATGTTTGGTGCAGTCAAGAATGGGGATTTGGTATGTGTTGCCCAACCAGCCAACTCAAACCCTTAATTCAGTCATTCAAATAATTCAATTAAAGTCCTAGGCTTTAAAATTATACATTTGTTTGAGCCCTGTATGTCTTAGGACAATCCTCAAGGTGAGTATACCTGAAAATGTAGGGTTGTCACACGGAAGCTGTCAACAGAAAAACTGTCAAGTGGCTGAAACATGATTTTTTTCACATTGAGGACATGTCATAGTGTTGCCACTCAGAGCTCCTTGTTACGTACATTAACTAATAAAATAGCCGGTTATGCAGCACAGTTAGAGAATCAGATAAGGATTACATTTTTTCACACAGAAGTTCGTCACCCTTGACACGATCGCTCAACTCCACGGGCACGTGTGCGCACGGTCTTAGTCAGGTTGCACCAGCACAGTAGAGTAGCATAGTGACACAGTTGGGAGGAAAACTCTGTATGTTTTATTGGTTCGTAATTCAAACAGGATTCATCGCGTCCTTGCACATAACCACTTCATTGACCTCCATAGAAACCGTGTACAAAATCAAGAGGACTTCTTGTCATACACGTATTTGAACAAGATTGGGAGAACTGTGTTCCACTGGCACAATGTAGCCTCTCAGTATATTTCGACTGAATATCCCACACTCCCAAATAGGACTAGGCTGTCAGAGACCCTCCAAAGAAAACGCAAATCGGCGGTGAGCCAATTAGAGTTTCTGCGGTAAGTGCGCGGATGGTAATGCTAGCAAACGCCAATCACCAAAAACTTTCAACATCAAAAACTACAGGTATGAGATCCTATGGTTAACTACACCCAGATATTTCTATTGCTAATAAATAAATACGCCTTCAGGTCCATGAAGGCAACTGTACTGTAAGACGGTGACCCTCTGTTGACCACAAAAAGGAAGACATGGGTTTCAAATAAAGCCATTGGTCCCCTAAGACAACAGAAAAAATCCTCTTTACAAGCACTGCTCTCTAAATGTGACCAGCGTTCAACTATCGTTCTGAGGTATGCTTGCATACGTAGCAAAAGACTTACGTTGACTGTTGATACGGGAGTACTCAGTGCTGTTTGTTGCAGTAGCTATAAAGAAAAGACAGCAGGAAGCAATAAGTACACAACAAACATGAACACCGTCAGAACCAGGTGCACCAAGTTCAGGCAACAACCTCTATAAACCCTTATCTACGATGAAACACTCCTTGTAAGCAACGGAAGCAATCTGAATTCAAACAGGCAACTCTGAGGCCCAGAAAGCTGTCCAACTCCTTCCTGTAAGAAAATGGATTCAAACTGTGAAGTACATGTAGTCGCCCACCATTTCGTCTGAATTGTAATCACCTGCTATTGATGAGCGAATTCTTACCAAACACCATACGACCGTAGAATTCAGTTTTCTAGCTTGGTTTATCATGTAGATCTAACTCGTTAGGAAGCTGAACTCACTTGTGACTGTTCAGATAATCGGTCAAGTTCCCGTGGACATCTCTGAGGATCTGATAGGTACCAACCGGTGGCAAAGATTACACAGTGGAAATGATCAACGGTGGAGAAAGTTTTGACAATTTTCTAAGCTTTTCAGCCAGAAGTGAGCCCTGAAACTGCATCTTGCAGTCAGTTTATGCAAACCACAAACCGTTATCCATAGAAAACAGCAAGGAGATGTTGTGGCAGCACTGAACTTTAGAACAACTCCCTGTTGTGGTTTTATTTTTAATGTTGTGATTGTGTTGCACTATTGGTGCAGGCAGATGGAAAATTAACTACATCGTTGATGTGTCCCACCTGGCTGAACTGCACCCATGGTCAGAAGAGAACAGAACAGTGTACCGAAAACATTGCCTAATAAGAGGATCCACATACCCAACCGAGTAGAATTTGTCGCTAGGCTATCGCGCGCACACAAACATTTGCAGAATCTTTTCCGTTGCAACCGCTCATGAAATTCCCATCCAAAGGTGACAGTTGTTCGCAATTTCATAATTGCAATGACTTTTACAGAAACGGTTCACCGTCGAGGTTCGTTGCTGTTGATCCAATTAAGAAAATGGTGAGTGGGTGATATTCAGCTAGAATCATAGCAGTGAGCCGTAAAAACATGAATCTTATGAATATTAATCGGACTGATACACGCCCTGGGAACACTTTGTTTGCCGGTATGCACTACAAGGGGGCTGGGAAGTAGTGTCCGGAGTGGTGATTGCTCAGTCCCCGCCGCTTCCAAACACCGATATAAGAGCAGGGATTGAGAATCGAAATACGAAAACGGTTTTCCTGTCCAGCCACGAAACATGTGGAAATGATTTGACGAGATAATTGTGTAGTAGAAAATGTGCATGAATGAGTACTTTAAATGTTCGGAAGGAGAGAGCGCAGCGGACAGTGAGACGAGTGAAGTTGGTTGGAGAATTGAGAAATGATTAAATCATGAGGTAGGTTGAAGTGGCATAAAGGGTGCGCGATAGCAACACTTCCTCGAAGTTCTGTGGTAGACATTTTGACGTTTATAATGGTAACAGGGGTAATCACTCTTAGTTACCAAATTTCCATAGTCAGATATTACACCAATTTTTCCATGACCATAAACGTATGCACAACAGAGACCTCAATCAACGCTTTCTCGAAGAGGTTGCAGAGGAGCCCGCTCACTTTGGAAGGAGAGTACAAGTAACGACCGGCGATAAACTAAGACAAAACCAAAGAGCTGCGATTACAAATCTACCTGAAATCGCAGCAAGTTAGGGCGATTATAAATGATTTAATTAGTAAATGATACCATAGGCTTAATAATGAGTAAATTGGCCAATGCTAACTTGTTTACTTCGTAGGTACCGCTAGATCATACAATCCTAACCTGAAGGGCCGACTCACAGAATCGTGCGTTATCATGTGCGCTACCAAGTACAAAAAGTCCGGTAAACATGGGTGGTGACACAATCATGCAGTTAGACAATACATTACGTCCAACGCCACCTTCGGCGCCTACGCATAGAAACGAATTTTTGAAGTGCACGCTTCTTCAGTTGTTTGAATAAGTATTTATTCAGAAAGTTCAGAGCTGACGTTTGTGACATAGTTTTGCGGTTACGCGTGGAATGACTTCTATCACACCTAGAAAAGAAACGAACATTTTCACAAGGGACAAAAAAACCATGACAGTCACCCTTCCAGAAGCCAGTGATTTGGCATGGACCGATGTTGTGAGTCAGCAAAAATCCAAAGTAAACTAATGAACATTAAAATATCAGTCTCAAGATTTCTGAATTAAGGAGGACGGCCCACGAGCGGTTTCGCCATTCTTGGGGCTCATCAGATAGGCGCAGTCTCCGAGTTCCCCTCAACCTTATGCTCTACTTGAAACCAAATTGCTACCTGAGGAGCCCCAGAAGGGTGAAACCGGTCGTGGGCTGTCAAAGAATGTTCAGTAACCTTATGAGTAGTGAACTACATGTATACATGCATCGAGATATCTCAAACATCGTACCAAATGAAACATGAGGCGGCCTGGTGCAACACATTCAGTTGCCTGAAAACATCACAAGCAAGAGATTCTGCTGGACTCCAGGTGGGTCTCTCGCAAAACCAATGAGTGCATTTCGCTAAAGAAGATGGGACAAGAAACACTACGAACATAGGAACCGGTTTTTTTTTCAATACCTGGTTTTTTCGTTTGGATAGAAAAATAACGAGTTGCAGAAACTGAAGGAATCCAAATTGTTATCACACAATTTTACGGCTTTAATGATCGAGCATGTGATGTCTTGATGAGTGATCCTACACACGCATTGAATGATAATCCTACGACTAGCTAAGCATTCAGGACGACCATAAAACGACAGATGAGCGTATACTCGTGAACAACAAAGTTGGGACGAAAGGACATTGTTACGTTGTTTTAATGGGAATGTTGTTCCCTTTGAAGTCAGCACGAATAAATAACACCATCCCCGGTCTTGTAAGTCATTAAACACAGACCTACATCTACACAGGTGAGTCATGCGTTATGACACTACCAAGCCGGTAAAACGGCGAATGCTGATTTCCAACCATCCCAGCCATCCGAAGAAAGTGGGATAGAAAAACGAAAAAGCGGAAAACTGTTTCAAGTCCTGACAACAGACAAACCTGCAAATTGGCCAGAGGTATAATGTCGCCTGCTTCAGGCTTCTGCCAAACGGTTTCCCGATTACAGCTGTTGTAATAGTAATTCCGTTGGGCCTTCACATCGTACAGTTCCCACCATTGGTTGGAAGACATCGGTTTGCTTGAAAGAGGGAAGTGCATATGAAGCAAAAAACCGAATGAACAAATGAGAAAAGGTAAAGACACGAAATATAAGTCGAACCTAATATGGACCGATCCTCTGCAGTCAAGAAACGCGAGCTATTTTATGTTCAGCGTTTATACTAGGTCCACTAGGAGGTGCCGCTTGAAAGTCGGCAATCAACAGTGATAATTTCAGCGAACCTCCATTACTGGCGTGTTGTAGAACATTTCCGATTCCTCTCAAATGGGACATTTGAAACTCGGAAAGTAGATAATCAGACCGATGTGACGAATGGAGATGTGCCCAGTACAATCTTGCATCAAAAGCGAAGCAACATTATTGGTGTTGCTCACCTGATGCATAAGTGACATGAATCAAGTGTACCTTCAGAATGCGTGCCTATCCCTAACAACGCGACCAGAAAGTGCGTTAGTCTACAGAGGAATTGGACCAAGTAGACCTGTAACAGCAAAGTGAACTAGTCGAAAATGGTCTCCATGGGTTTCTTGGTCAACCCCTTGAAAGGTTATTCAGTACGATGTGGTAGCAAGACCGAGGTGCCATGTAAAAAGTTTGGCATCGAATCGGATGTCTCATATATCCAAGCTGAAGGATCTAGTGGATCTGAGAGTCGGCATTAGGAGAGTACAACTAACGTACTGTTCATTAAACCTGCAACACGTGAGGCCAATCCGGTCGGTGGCGGCAGGATAAAATAAGTAAAGTAGCACAGGATGAGAAAAGTAACTTAGCTTAATGTGAGTCACATTCACGAAACGCAAACCATCTCCTGAATGAATAGATGGTAAGTGACAAGAAAACTTCACTGAAGGAGTAGGAAGGATTAATTAACACCATTACTGACAGCAACACCGGAGAACACTGGCAGTTCATGGTCGTACAACCACGAATAATGGAAAGAAAACATGGGAGAGGGATGGGAACTAGGATTAGCTTACCACAAACACCCGAGGCACCTACACCTCCAACATTCAGTCAGACAATCTGGACAGGAGCTGACATCGGTCAGCTGCCATATTGTTCAGTGTCTGCAGTCGAGCACCGGGAAGGTTAAGTGGGTGTCATCCCGGAAGGCGAACAACACCAAACTTCTTGAGGCACCTTACATTCCCTTCTGTCAAATTCTGCCCGCTTCTAGGTTTTCGCTACACCTAACTAAGGAAAACAACGGTGTTGTCTGCAGACGCTAAGAGAAGGATTAAGATAATATGGACAGAACTTCGAGAAAGAATACCAGTCTCCAAAAAACGGATTCATGTTATTCGCTTTGTGACGGGATTAGATAGTTGCATTAGATAGGATACAAAGTACAGAAGCCTGTGTGGTCATCCTAAAAAAGTTCTGGCATGCACGCCAGGTGGAGACGAAATATTCCGACATAACTAATTAGTGAGCAGTTAGAAACAACCGCCAAAATCACTCCAAACTTTTGCCATTATACTCTTTGTTCGTGCTAAGCATAGGAATCAGTGGCCACAGGTCAGCACGCCTGTTGAAATCTTTCACTTCGCTCTAGTTCAAACATACACAACTTCAACTTGAATCAAAACTTTTTAACGATCCATTTCTGTTCCATCCGAGTACGGAAATCAATGGATAAAGCATTTTCTCACTCTGCAGGAAATGCCAACGAAGTGCAAGGTAACGACTCACATCGATGTATAGCCCAATGGCGGGTACATGTGTATGCCACACTTGACTCTCGACATACTGCATACGTATAATATATAAGTATGTATGCAAACGAACTGCTGTATAGAGTTACAGGACTGAAATCTACACGCCAAAGCACGCTGTCATCTAAATCAGTCAAGAACTAAATTCTACTGGCCACATGGAGCAAAACTGGTGACTCACATTTCCTTATCAGGCGGAGGATCCCAACAACACTCGCCCGAAGACAAATTGACATACATTGTGCGATGGGTCTTCGGATCCAGTAGCTCAACCCATTCGAATCTATTGGTAGAAAGGTGGTTTTTTATTAGTTTTTGGGAACAATCTGAAGTCACAAACGGAGAGCCGGCGGAGGATACAACACTCGCCCGAAGACAAATTGACATACATTGTGCGATGGGTCTTCGGATCCAGTAGCTCAACCCATTCGAATCTATCTATTGAAAGGTGGTTTTTTATTAGTTTTTGGGAACAATCTGAAGTCACAAACGGAGAGCCAACTACCATAATTTGAAAGAACTCCGAACCTCTGCAAGCAATCTCATTCCACTTCAAACTAGCTGGCTTGTCAATACAACATATTAAACAGATTTTAGCGCATCACTATATACATATATATATATATATATATATATACTATAAGCAAACCAAAATGCTGGCATAATCGGAAATGCCAAAACAAATAGTCAAATGTGCTCACACCTCGG